GCCACAACCGCCGCCCCCTCTGCCGCCGCCCCCGCCGCCCGCTCCGCTCCACCCGCCCCCGCAGGCCCCCCTTGACGCCGTCGGGCCGCCAGCAGCCATCCTGAGCGGAGATCGATCCCGGGCGAAAGACGGGCTAGTAAGTGTCGGATCTGGTAGTTCCCGCGTCAGCCATTCGTTTCCCCCACATGGAAGGCGGGAGGAGGTGGTGCCCTTCGTGCCTCTTGACCTATCCCCGTGGGTATAAAGCGGTCGCCCTGGAAAAAGATGGAGTCGAGAAGGAGTGGGTATTTGTAGTTGGTTGCTACAACAATGGGAGATCCTAAAATAATAAACATGAAAAAGATTTTGATTTTAAAAACTTCAGTCCTGCATAAAGTAAGCTCCACCCACCCTTGCTGTATATCAAATCCTTAGCCTATCTAGGCCAGGGTTACAGTTTTTTGGAGGAGACCTACAAGTAGTTGAGAGCAGTGGGCTGCCTTTTGCTGTGTGGGTATCTGCAAGTAGTATTCAGGCACTAGCAAAGCACACTGTTCTAATCTTAATTTTCTGAAATAATTGAATCGCCCAGGTTCACAAAACACACTGAATTATAAAGTAACAACAGTGGCTGGGTTTGCAGGCACGGTGTACAAAGTTAAGATTATATGAGTGCTGTCATAAGAGATACTTGTACAGCATGCTAATCTTATGGTTTACTGAACCCTGATTATAGACTTAACTCAGTTGGCTGTGTTAACACACTGAATCAGAAATTAACAACAGTGTCTGGATTAGCATAGCATAGTAATCCTCCAAAAAAACTAACTAAGCTTAGCATATTATGGTAACACAGTAGCCAAACCACAAATTCAGTAACTACAGTTTAGCCCAAGGAGTGTAAACTGAGACAGCCTATCTCTGAACTTTCCGTATAGCTGCTGTGGTTCTTTTGTTCAATTGTTAGAATCTCTGTTTTAAGAAATTATTATTATTACATCTTGTAACAAGGAATTCTACAAATGTATTGCCTTGTTTTAGGCAATACTCAGTACCTCCTTCCTGCTGTTACATTAATGGCATGTTTTATAAATAGTTCCTTCTGTACCTTTGTTCTTTAGTCTATTTAATTTTCAAAGAGATTTTTAAATATTCTAAATCAGATGCAGCTGGATAATTTTTACTATCCAAATTCTTGTTAGTGTTACGTCCAGGCATCTTTTTCCTGCCATTGTACCCAATTTAAAAGTCTAAATATCAATTTAATGTTAGACTTGAGTGCAAACAGCTTGCAGACAAGGTTGTCTAAAGACCTATCTTATATATATATATCTGACCACCCTATTTGGATCATCTACGGAAGTCTGTATTGTCTTTAGTATCTGATGTGTGAAAATAGAAAGAAAAGGTTTCTCTGTGGTTGCAGTCTAGACTTCTCTCTGGTTAGAAAAATCAGTCTCTCCTACTCCTTTCTAATGTTCTATCACTACCTGCTCATATATTTTATAGTTGTTTATGTAAAAATACTTTTCAGACACTATGATTTTT